TCCTACAAAGCCTAATCAAGAAAGCAGAGTACACAAATTACTAATACCAAGACTGAAAAGGGAACATCACTTTAGATCCTACAGATTTTAAAAACATAACAAGTAGATATTATGAGCTATTTAAAGCCAATAATTAGATATTTCAATGAAATGAAATAGAAAGTTAAAAAAAAAATCCTACTGAAACTGACATAAGAGTAGAATATCTCAATAGTTCTGTATCTATCAAAGTAATTGAATGTATAATTTAAAAGTTTCCTACAAAGAAAACTCCTGGCTCAGATGGCTTTGCTGTTGATTTTTACAGAAAACATTTATGGAAAAAATAATACCAATACCAACAATACCAATCTTACACAAACGCTTCCAGAGAGGGAAAAAAAAGGAAGTAATTCTCAATTCATTTTATGAGCCCAGAATTACCCTGACACTAAACCCTGACAAGGCTACTACCAAAAGGAAACATATAAGACAATCCGGACATAGACATAAAATCCTATATAAAAATTTGAAAATCCAATTCAACAATATATTAAATATATATTATGACCAAATGGAATATATTACAGGAATGCAAGGTTGCTTTAACATTCAAAAATCAATTGATACAGATAAACTTTGGGAACATTTTGCTAAGTGAAAGAAGTCAGTCACAAAAGAACAAATGTTTATATGAGGTACCTAAAGCAGTCAAATTCACAGCGACAGAAAGTAGAATGGCAGTTTCCAGAGGCTAAAAGGAGGGAGGAATGGGGATTTATTGTTTAAAAGTATTCGGTTTCAGCTTAGAAAGAGTTTGAAGAGTTTTGGATATGGATGATGGTGATGGCTGCACAACAATGTGAATGTACTTAATACCAGTGAACTGTACACTTAAAAATGGTTAAGATGGTAAATTTTATGTTATGTTATTTTACCACAATTTTTAAAATAAATCAATCCATATAATTCAACCACATTAACAGAATGAGAAAATCCATATGGTCATCTCAATAGTTACAAAATATGTATTTGATGAAATTCAACACCTAACCCACAATGACAAATCTCAGCACACTATGGATATGAAAGGAAATTCCTTAGTCTGAGATTATCTACTAACAGATTTATACCTCATATCATACCTAATGGTCAAACGTTTAGGATTTTCCTTTAAATTCTGGGAAGAAGGCAAGGATGTCCACAATCACTACTTCTGGAGGTCCTAGCCAGTGCAATAAAGCAAGAAAAAAATGGCCGAAATATTGGAAAGGGTGAAGTAAAACATATTTTACTTTATTGCAGATGACATATTGTGTACATAGAAAGTCCAAAAGAAAGAACAAATTATTATAATTAACAAGTGAATTTAGCAAGGTCACTGGATATAAGGTAAGTTTTAAAAAATCTATTATATTTATAATATTACATATCATCATATATATTACATATTTAATACACATATTATATATACTATTATAATATATATTATATATATTAGCAAAAATCAGAAAATGAAATTAAAATAATAGCACTTATAACATCAAAACATCAAATACATTAACTAACAACTAACAAGTTGTTCAAAACTTCTATATTGAAAAAATATGGAAAATTGCTGAAGTGAAAAGATGTGTATAAATGAAAAGGTGTACGTGCTCATAAATTGGATGTCTCAATATTGTTAAGGTGTCCATTCTTCCAAAATTAATCTATATATTTGATGTAATGCTCATTATAATTTCTACTTTTTGGTATGGAGTAACTGAAAAAAAGTCATTAAAAAGGGTATGAAAATACCAAGGAAGGACCTAGAATTACAGTGACAATTTTGAAGAAGAACAAAATTAGAACACATATACCACCAGATGCCAAGACTCACTATAAATCTGTTTTTACTAAGAACATTTGGTGTTCAACAGAACAATGGAACAGAATAATCTAGAAGTAGAACGTCACATAATATGATCATCTGATTTATCACAAGGGTACCACTGCAACCCAAAGGGGAGGGGAGAAGATGGTCTTTTCAATAAATTATGTTAAATAAATTATATATTTGTATGGAAAATATTAATTTTGACCTCTACCCCACACCACACATAAAAATTAATTTCAGGTGGATTGTAGATCTAAAAGTGAAAAGTAAAACAGTGGATATGCAGAAGAAAATGTAGGAAAATATCTTTATGACTTTGGGTTAGGAAAAGATTTCTTAAACTTGGCACAAAAAGCACTAACCATAAAAGAAAAGATTGATGAATTATTCATCAAAATTAAAGACTTCTATTCATCAAAGACATCATTTAGAGAGTGAAAAGGCAAGCTGCAGACTGAGAGATGATATTTGTAACAAATGTATCTAAAAAAATACCTTGTATCTACAATATATAAAGAATCCTACAAATGAACAAGTTCCCAACTAAAAAAGGGGCAAAAGTCTTGAATAGGCACTTCTCCAAAAACGATATTCAAAAAGCCAACAAGCATCTAAAAGGGGACTCAACATCATTAGCTGCTAAAGAAATGCAAATTAAACCTAGAATGAGATACCACTACATGTTGGAACCAGGCTTTGGCACTTTACCACTCATTGAAACTGCTCTAGTAAAGGTGGCCTGTGTCATCTCCATCCTCTAACACAATGGACACGTTTCAGTTCTTACGTTATTTGAACCTGTTGACCATGCTCCTCTTTTTGAAATGCTTGGCTCTAAGGCAGGGATGGGAGGCAGAGTTTGGGTGTGGTGAGGGTTAGGAGGTAGAAAGGAGCTGCCAATAGAGTTGGCATCAAGTCATGTCAACTGTTTGACAGCAGGGTTTCTTACGGGTAGTGTTTCAAAGTCTGACCCTCGAACTTTCCAATCAGAAAGTGGTACATTATATCCAAAGAAGATAAGTCTCCCGGTAATAGTTAACAAATTTCCCCTTCCCAATACTAAACACTTATCCTAGCATTGTGGGAGGGGTATATGATTTTCTTTCCTTAAATCTCTCCTGAAGCGTAGCTTATTGTGGCTTGTCCTTTTTGGATATCAGGTCCATGGGGCCTTCTGGTATTAGGGCCACAGCCTCTGGGCTCCCATTTTGACTCCAGGACTCTCTTAGTATTCCCAGAACTTCCAAGCCTTCATTTATGGACTTGGGAGTCCTTGGCTGTTTTGCCTCTCTATACTCCATCATGCAATGTTCTGTGAGGATGTACACAGACCTTTTCACCATTATGACTTTTCCTTTGGTGCCAGGTTGAAACTGGAACTTCTCTCTGAGGCTTGCAGTCTTCTGGTTTATAGCCTGGACACAAGTTTCAGATATTCTTGGATACATTTTTCATCTGTCTGAAATTTCTACTACCTCCTCCAAATGAAACTGAGAGGGTGGGGGGAGTAAAGGGCTGGGTCAGAACCAACTCCCATGCTCTTAGATCCATGACCATTCCTCCCCAGCCAATGTATATCCAGCACCTAGGGTAATTCCTAGTACGTAACAGGTGTCCAATAAATTACTTCACAAGAAAATTAGTTTTCTCCTATTTATATAAATATCACATGCTCATTGGAAAGAAAATCTTAAAAATACAGAAAAGTACAGAAAAGTCAAACAAACAAACAAAAACATGAGATACTCCACCAACTCTGAAACAACCATCACTAACTTTTTGGAGACAATCCCCTCATTCATGACTCTCAATAGTTCACACATAGTTTTACATAGAGTTTTATACCACCCATGCTGCACTTACACTTGTCTATTTTCCCAGTCTTTTCTCCCCCTTATCTCCCTATTTTTCCTTTTCTCCCTCCCTTAAAGGTAACCAACAGCCTGATGTATATTCTCTACTTGTTTCCATGCTCATCTAATCACATACACACATATATACATAAATGGATGTGATCATTATTTTAACAAAAATGAAATCTTATACACATACATCTCTGTCATAAAGCAATTACTTATTTAAAAAAATGTGGAAATACCTTGAAGTCAAATAGTATAGATATAACTCATTTTAAAAATTACTCTCATGCTGTTCCATGGTATGGATATATAATTTATTTAACCATTCCCCTATTAATGGGCATTCACTTTGTCTCCAGTTGGGTTTCTTCTTTGCCTCTATAAACAATACTTTAACAAACACCCTTCTTTACGTATATTCTTACGTAATGATGCTGTTATTTCTGTGGGGCAGATTCCCAAAAGTGAGACTGCTGGTCAAAGCATTTTTACTTTAAAATTTTATTAAAAATTTTTAAATATATATTGCTGGATTGCGGGTGGAAATATGTTGCTATAACGTTTTCGTTAAGAGTACATGGTTTCCCAACCCCGCTAGCAAAAGAGCTCTTAATTTTTGCCAACTCCATGAGGTGGAAGCAACAACTCATTGGTTGTTTTAATTTGCATTTTCCTGAGTACTATTTAGGTTCATAATATTTTCATAGGTTAACGACGATTTGGAGTTGCTCTTCTATGAATAGCTATACAGTCCAGATGGATTAAAGACTTCACTGTAAAACATAAAATTTTCCACATCCTAGAAATAAGTTTAGGAGACTATGCATAACCTAGGGATTAAGGAGACCCTTTTAACTAAAAGAGTAAATCAAGGATCTAAAAGAAAAAGATGTAAATGTTTTACTATAGAAAATTAAAATATGTAGTGACTTCAACTATATAAAAAAGTATCAAGACAAATGCTACATTAAGAAAAACATTTGCAACACACATGACAAAGAATTAATAACTCAAATACATAAACAGCACCTCCAGATTTTTAAGAAATACAAATCAATAGAAAAATAGGTAAAAAAAATACATGCAATTCACTGGAGATAATTTGTTAAATGAATAAAATATGAAATCTGGATGAAGGCTTTCATTTATCCATTATTTTCTCTAATATGAATTTTCTTATAACTTCTAAGATTTAATATGACTAACTGCTTTTCCATATTCTTATGTTTATAAAGTGTCTCTTCAGTGAATATTTTCTAGCAAATTGCTCCTAAAAGTTTTCCCACATTCATAAAATATACAGTTTATAAGATTGTTCTTGTGGAGCTGACATCTGGATAAACAATTCATTGTTCTCTATAGTAGTTGAGTTTCTCTCTGATGTATTCTTTGATGTACAGTAAGGCTTGAACTACTCCTAAAGGCTTTTCCACATTCACTACATTTATAGGGCTTTTCTCCAGTATGCATCCTCAGATGTACAGTAAAGTCTGAGTTAGTTCTGAAGGCTTTTCCACAATCCTCACATTTATAGGGCCTCTCCCCAGTATGAATTCTCTGATGTAGAGTTAGCTGTGATAGAGTAATACAACCTTTTCCACATTCCTTACACGTATAGGGTTTTTCTCCAGTATGTGTCCTCCAATGCACTGTAAGGTAGGAACCCCTCCTGAAGGCTTTTCCACAGACATCACATTTATAGGGTTTCTCTCCACTATGGATTTTCTGATGTTCTGTGACATGTACCATCTGGCTAAATGCTTTCCCACAGTCATTACATTTAAATGGTTTCTCTCCAGTGTGTGTTCTCTGATGGGTATTAAAGCCTGAGTTACTTGTGAAAACTTTCCCACATTCATTACATTTATAGGGTTTTTCTCCAGTGTGCCTTCTTTGATGCACAGTAAGCTGTGATGTATTAGTGAAAGCTTTCTCACATTCATTGCATTTATATGGTTTTTCTCCAGTATGGGTCCTCTGATGTACAATAAGGTATGACTTAGTCCTGAAGGATTTTCCACAATCATAGCATTTATAGGGTTTCACTCCAGTATGAATTTTCTGATGCTCCTTGAGATTTACCATTTTGGTAAATGCCCTCTCACAATCAGTACATTTATATGGTTTCTCTCCAGTATGAATTCTCTGATGTACAGTTAAGTGTGATTTTATTCTGAAAGATTCCCCACATTCATTACACAGGTAAGGTTTCTCTTCAGTATGTATTCGCTGATGTATAATTAGAGATGAAGAACGCATAAAGGCCTTTCCACATTCATTACATTTATAAGGTTTCTCTCCTGTATGCATTCTGTGGTGTACAGTAAGGCACGAATAATTAATGAATGCTTTCCCACATTCAGTACATTTATAGGGTTTTTCTCCTGTATGAATTCTCTGATGTTCTGTGAAATTTGCTATACGATTGAATGCTTTCCCACATTCATTACATTCATAGGGTTTTTCCCCAGTATGAGTTCTTATATGTACAATAAGGCTTGAATTACTTCTATAGGCTTTCCCACATTCATTACATCTAAAGGGTTTCTCTCCAGTATGAATTCTCTGATGAACATTAAAAATTGTGGTATTCTTGAAAGATTTCCCACACTCATTGCATTTATACGGTTTCTCTTCAGTATGTGTCTTCTGATGTACACTAAGATATGATTTATTCCGAAAGGCTTTCCCACAATCATTACATTTGTAGGGTTTCTCTCCATTGTGAGTTTCCTGATGTCTTGCAAGTTTTGATTTATCACTAAAAGCTTTCCCACATTCACTACATTTATAAGGCTTCTCTCCAGTTTGAATTCTCTGGTGTTGATTAAGGCGAGCACACTGGCTAAAAGATTTTCCACAGACATTGCACTGATAAGGTTTCTCCTTAGTATGAATTCTCTGATGTACCATAAGTGATGAAGAAGCAATGAAGGCCTTTCCACATTCATTACATTTATAGGGTTTTTCTCCAGTATGAATTTTTTTATGTTGACTAAGATATGAAGGCTGGCTGAACATTTTCCCACATTCATTACATTCATAAGGTTTTTCTTTAGTGTGAGTTCTCTGATGTTGAATGAGTAATGACCTATAACGAAAAGCCTTTGCACATGTACTACACTTATAGGGTTTTTCTTTATTATTGGGTTTTTTCACTAAAGTAAGTTCTGAAGTAGGCCTTGTGGCTTTGCTGCCTTCTGTATCATTGCAAATTTTCTTCCCCAAAAGGGTATCTGTAATCATATCTAAATTCTCTGTGAAATTTTCCTTGTGTGTTTGGCATTTGCTGTAGGGCTCTTCTGTGATAACTCCTTGCTCTGAAAAAACAATAGATATAAAGCCTCTCTGACCAGTGGGAGTTTTCTTGTGTGTAACTATTCTTTGACTCAGATGACCCTCCTGACTATTTTGCAATCTCAGTATTCTGTCATTCCATTTCCATAATCCTCCCATTCTGGAGTCCCACAGACCATTCTCTGTGAGCTTCTCTACTATGGCCTCCTGTGATAAATCTTCTTCAGAAACACCCTCTGTTGGTATAGCATTCTTGGCTGCAGGTTTGGTTTCCAACTCTGGGGGGAAAAAAGAGAAACATCAAATGGCTCCTATTTTCTAAGTTGGGGAGATCTCAGTAAAAGGATAATAAAAGGGAAACTTGGGCTGATAATGAATATATGGTTTTAACTGCTTGCAAATGGGCCTTGCTATCTAGGAAGAAGGAGGTAGGGGTAAGGGAGACTGGTTGAGCAAAGAACCAAAGTAGTAAATTCAAGTAGTTTTTCTCCTATTAAAAAAAATTCATTCATGGTAACCCTCCTAGAATCTAAGTTTCTCAAGTATTTCTTCCTGTTTTCATTCCATTTAGAGTCAACTTCTTTAGAAAGCATTCTTCATAAGTTGTGACTACTTCCTTGTTTACCATTTACTCGACAAACCAGACATTTGTCCCCAACCATACTTTCTCTCTCTTTGTTCCCTAGCTTTTTTTTTGTGAGGGTTTTCTCAAATTTCCCTGTCTTAGTAGCTTATTCAAGTCTTTATATCTTTTTATAGAACTTCTATGGAAGAAGACACTGATTTTTCAGAAAGTAGGCTGAACAAAAAACTAGTCAAAATTAATATTTATAATTATTGATATTTCAAATAGTGAGAATAATTATTTTCAAGGGTATTTTTGCAACCTTTTTATGGATATTAAGAATATTTCCGACAGTTTGTCAAAAATTCCCTTTAAAAAAAGTATACTGAGGGGTGGTGGTCTTACAACTTGTTTGTATAAGCAATTTAATATTTTACACTTTTTTTTTGCTGAGAAAGATTCGCCCTGAGCTAGTATCTGTTGCCAATCTTCCTCTTTTTGCTGAGGAAGATTCACCCTGAGCTAACATCTGTGCCATCTTTCTCTATTTTGTTTGTGGGTCACTGCCACAGCATGGCTGCCAATGAGTGGTGTAGGTCCACGCCTGGGAAGTGTATCTGGGCAGCTGAAGCAGAGTACGCTGAACTTAACCACTAGGCCGTGGGCCGGCCCCTAATATTTTACTTTTTAAAACAGTTTTATACTTCTTTTAAATTTCTAATTTATTTTAAGCTAATTATGTCTAAATGTTTAAAAACAAACTGAATCAAAACGTTTTGTGAATAGTAGAATGGTTTTATGTCTTTAAAACTCAAGGTAAGTAGAACTTTCAATGGACTCACAGGGCTAGACAAAGATCTGAATTCAGGGCCACCAAAGAAGACAATCCTAGAACTCAAGGACTAAAACCCAGCTCATTTAAATGTCTAATTGAATTAAGGTGACTGAGAATTGTTAGAGCTCCTATTCTAGCAGCCCACCAAAGTCAAACATTAACCCTCTGTGGAAAAAGATCACATAAATACAGAACCTCAAATTATTGTTATAGGTTTTCATATCAATGCCTGACAATGAAAAATAACAGGCATATAAGAAGACAAAAGTCACATGAGAAAAAAATCAAGAGGAAAAAAAACATAACAGAAACAGATCTAAAAGAGATCCAGATAACTGAGGTCTCAGACATGAACTTTTAAAATAATCATGATTAGTATATTCAAGAAAATAAGACAAGATTAACAATTTCACCAAACAATTGGAAAGTACAAAATAAGAACCAAATGGTAACTCCAGAACTGGAAAATAAATTAAGAACACAAAGGATAGGCTAAAAGCACAGTTGATATGACAAATGAGAGTGTTAGCAAAATGGAAAGTAGGTCAGTAGAAAGTATCCATATTGAAGCACAGAATGATGAAAAACTAGAAAACATTATTTGAAAAAGCATAAGAGACATAGAGGATAGAAGGAAAATGTCTATCACAGATGTAAAAAGAGTCCTAGAAGGCTAGAAAGAGAAGTAAGAGAGAAAGAGACAAAAACAAATTCAAAGAAATAACGTCCCCCAATTTTTAAAAATAGATGAAATAAATCAAGTCACAAATTTTAGAAGCCAAAAGAAACCCAAGCAGAAGAAACACAAAGGAAACTATACTAAGGCACATAGCAAAACTGTTGAAAAGTAAAATCTTAAAAGTAGCCAGAGGCAAAAAATACAGATTCCTTTCAAGGAGTGACAATTACATCAGAGGTTGCAAACTACAGCCAAATCTGGTCCATTACATGTTTTTGAATGGCCAGCAAGATAAGAATGCTTTTTATATTTTTAAATGGTTGAAAAATATATTAAAAGAATAATACATTGTAACACATTAAAATTATATGAAATTCAAATTTCAGTGTTCATAAATGAAGTTAAATTTAGTGGAACACAATCATACTCTCTGGTTAACATATTGTCTATGAATGCTTTTGTGCTACAATGGCAGAACAGAGCAGTTGCAACAGAGACATTTCAGCCCCACAAAGCCTTAAACGTCTACTGTCTTGCCTTTTACAGAAAAAGTTTGCTGACTCCTGAATTAGACAGATGGTTGACTTCTCAACAGAGTCTATGAAAGGCAGAAAACAACGGAACGATACTTTCAAAATGCTGAAAGAATATAACTGTCAACTTAGAATTCTAAACTTACCAAAAATATTCTTCAAAAATGAAGGTTAAATAAAGACTTTTTAGGCAAAAAATAAAAATGGAGAGAATACGACCCCAGCAGATCTGAATGAAAAATATTAAAGGGCATTCTTTAGGGGCCGGCCCCGTGGCTTAGCAGTTAAGTGCGCACGCTCTGCTACTGGCGGCCCAGGTTCGGATCCCGGGCGCACACTGACACACCGCTTCTCCGGCCATGTTGAGGCAGTGTCCCATATACAGCAACTAGAAGGATGTGCAACTATGACATGCAACTATCTACTGGGGCTTTGGGGGAAAAAAAAAAGGAGGAGGACTGGCAATAGATGTTAGCTCAGAGCCAGTATTCCTCAGCAAAAAGAGGAGGATTGGCATGGATGTTAGCTCAGGGCTGATCTTCCTCACAAAATAAATAAATAAATAAATAAAGGGCATTCTTTAAGCAGAAGAAAAATAATCCTAGGGAGAAGCTCAGAAATGAAGAAAAAAAATGAAGAGAAAAAGAAAGTAAAAATACAGGTAAATCTAAATGAATATTAACTGCATACAACATCAATAATAGTGTCTTATGAGATTTGACATATATAGAATTAAAATACATAACTTCAATAACATGTAATTGAAGTTAAAGGGAATAAGCTCTTCTAAGATCCTTGTATTGTTTGGGAAGAAGGAAAATCTGTATTAGATTGCTGAATCAAGGATGCATGCTTTAATCTCCAAGTTAACCAGTAAACAAAAAATTTAAAAATTTATAATTACCAAGTGATTAGAGGGGAAAATAGAAAAATAAAAGATGATAAACCTAAAGGAAGACATGAATGGGGAGAAAAAGAATATAGAACAGGGAAGATACTTTCACAGTTGGATGGTAGATTTAAACATCATGTAATTGTATTATGTACAAATGGACTAAATACAAACAAAAATCAAACAACATGCTATTTATAAGATAAACACAAAATATAAGGATATATAAAAGATGACAGTGAGCAGATGAAAAAAGATATATCATATAAACAATAACGAAAAGAATGATGCTACAGTAATATTAATATCAGGCAAAACAGATTTTAAGGCAAAAACCATTAACAGCAATAAAGAAGACACTTCATAATGATAAAAGTTCCAATTTACCAGAAAGATATAACAGTTCTAACTTTGTATTTACCTAAGAACACAGCTTCAAAATACATAAAGCAAAAATCAAAGGAACTAAAATAAGAAACAGACAAATCTACAGTCATAGTGGGAGACTTTACAAAACCTTTCTCAATCACTGATAGAATAAGCCAACAGTCAGTAAGTATATAGATTTTAGCAACATTAACAAACTTGACATACCTAGAACAGCATTCAGTACCTACAGACTATACATTTTTCCAAGTGCACATGAAATATTTATAAAAATTGGCCATGTGGTAAAGCAAATTTTAAGAAATTTGCAAAGACTGAAATCATATAGAGTATGTTCTCTGATCACAGTAGAACTTAACAAGATTACTAGAAAATCCCCATATGGCACAAAATTAAGAAAAATACTTCTAAATAACCTGAGGGCCCAAGACATCACAATGGAAATTATCAAATACTTGAACTCAATAATTATGAAGGTGCTACATAAAAAAAAATGTGTGATACAGTCTTGACAGCTTTAAATGCATTAGAACAAAAAGAATGGCTGAAGACCAATAAGTATCCAACTCAAGAAGTTAGAAAAGATCAGCAAATTAAACCCTAAGAAGGTAAAAAATAATAAGGGAAAAAAGTAATGAAACAGAAATCAAACAAACAATAGAAAAGGATAAAAATTATTCTTTAAAAGCCAAATAAGATTGATAAATCCTAGCAAGACTAAGATAAAAGAGAGAAGACACAAAAAATTAATATCAGAAATGAAAAGGGAGATATCACTTCAGATCCATATAGACATTTAAAAGATAAACAGAGGGGCCGGCCCTGTGGTGTAGCAGTTAAGTGCGCATGCTCTGCTTCGGCAGCCCAAGGGGTCGCAGGTTCGGATCCAGGGTGCGCACCGACCCATCGCTTGCCAAGCCATGCTGTGGTGGTGTCCCATATAAAGTAGAGGAAGATGGGCACGGATGTTAGCCCAGGGCCAACCTTCCTCAGCAAAAAGAGGAGGACTGGCATAAGATGTTAGCTCAGGGCTGATCTTCCTCACAAAAAAAAAAAAAAAAGATAAACAGAGGACAGTATGCAAAAAATTTAAATTTTAGATTAAATGGATCAATTCTTAGATAAACATAATTTGCTAAACTCAAACAAAAAGAAACAGGAAATATGAACAGTCCTATAACTATAAAAGGAATAGAAGCTGTAATTAAACACCTTCCACAATAAAAGCTTCAGGCCACATGGCTTCCCTGGTGAATTCTATGCACCATAAAATACATAACTTTCCCTTTCTCACACCTCTTTCTTGTCCTAACTATAAGCTGATGGTTTTGCTTCGTATTTCACTGAGAATACAGAAGCCTTAAGAATGCCTCAATCTTCTCGCCACCAGTTGACCTATGTCTGCATCTATCTTCTCCTTCCCTCGTGTTACACAGAGGAGGTGACCTCCCTGTCTATCAAAGGTAAATCTCTCCTTTTCTATTCTAGATTTTATCCCCTTTCACATCCTCAGACACTTGAGTTCTCCAGTGGTCCCATCTTTGCCCTGCAACATCAATTTCTCCCTCTCCATCGGGGCATCATTTCTATCAGCACTCAAGCATGCCACAAAAGCTCCCATCTCAAAAATAAAACACAAGAGTTTTTTTCTTGATTCCTTACTTTCCTCTAGCCACTGCCCCATTTCTCTTTCCCTCTTCAGGGCACGTGGTACGGCGGGGTGGGCGGTGGGGGGGGGTGAGAATCCTTCTCTAAAGAGTCATCTAAAACTACCTCCAATGTCTACTTTTCATTCACTCTTTTAAAAATATAAAATATTTGATATATAAAAAGAATATATGTAACATAAATGCAAGTTACGGATGGCATCATAATAAAATGAATACTTGAACTAGAATCCATTTATTTCTTTCCATCTCCAATAGTATCCCCCTAATCAAAGTTACTATCACCTCTTGCCTAGACTATTTTAACAATCTCTTAACTGATTATCTGCTTTATGCTTAAATTCAATTTCCATAAACAGGATTATTTCCTAAAAATTCTTGATTAAAATCTTTCAGTGTCTTCACATTCACTTTGATTAAAATCAAAAGCCCTTACCATCATCTACAAAGCCCTGAACAGGCAGTCTCCTGTCTAACTTGCTAATCTTACTCTACACCAGCCTCCCTCTCACTTACGCTTCAGTCACAGCCGCTTCCTTTGATTTCTGCAACACACTACATTCTTTTCTGTATCAGGTGCTTTGCATTGCTATTCCCTTTGCCTGCAATGCTCTCCTTCTCCTCTTCGCGTGGCTGGCTGCTTTTGATCCTTCAAGTTTCAGCTTCAGAGTCATCTCCTCAGAAGCCTTCCCTGACCACACTATCTGAAGGAGGCACCTCACCCTCATCCCAGTTACACTCATATCCCCTCCCCTCACTTATCTCACAGCTAAGTTATTACAACCACTACTTAGCTTGTTTTTGTTTATTTACTTGTTAATTATCTATTTCTCAAAATTTAATCTTCATGAGAGCAGGGACTTAGTCCATCTTCCTCACTGCTGTAGACCTAGTACCTAACCCGGTTCACAGTCTACAGACGTTCAATAAACATCGATTAAATAATGTGTACAGGTACATGCACCCCTGTGTTCATTGCAGTGTTATTCACAATAGCCAAGACTTGGAAGCAACCTAGGTGCCCATCAAGGGACTAATGGATAAAGAAGATGTGGTCTAGTACACAATGGAATACTACTCAGCCATAAGAAACAATGAAATCCAGCCATTTGTGACAACATAGGGGGACCTTAAGGGTATTATGCTAAGTGAAACAAGTCAGAGGGACAAAGTCAAATACTGTATGATCTCACTCATAAGTAGAAGATAAAAACAACAACAAATAATCACAGAGAGACAGAGATTGGATTGGTGGTTACCAGAGAGGAAGGAAGGAGGGAGGAGAGCGAAAGGGATGATTAGGCACGTGTGTGGTGATGGACTGTAATTAGTCTTTGGGTGATGAACATGATGTAACCTATGCAGAAACTGAAATATAATGATGTATACCTGAAATTTATATAATGTTATAAACCAATGTTACTGCAATAAAAAACAAAACAAAACAAAAATTAATTAATTAATTTTAAAAAAGAGTAAAAAGATTAAATAGCCTATCCACAGTCATGTAGCTAGTAAGTAGAAGAGCTGGGTGCATACCCACCTCTTGTGTGAGCACAGTACTTCACAATCTGACTACAGAGCTCTATACAAAGCTGTCTCTCATTATTTCTGCCTCTTATTATTTCATTTATTCTCATAATTTAACATTTCTGAGGTCAGAATCCATCTCCTTGTTGACGCTATTTTAACAACCGTTGTCAGCCAGATAGCAGCATGACATAGATGTCATTGCTGACACAGGTGTGCCCAGGTTGTTATTACCGGTTCCATGACTGGACACCTGTAACTCTTCAACAAGCCATTTAAGGACCTTGAAGACAAGAATACGAGTCTTGGTTGTTGTCTGAAAACCTTCTGTTGATACCTTAATTTAAATTAAAAAAATACCAGTAACAAAAGTTGCCAAATGGGTGTCAAAGGCCTGGAAGAAAACCCTAGAGATGATAATAGAGAATTCTATAAAGAAATATTGCATCGCCGACAATCTTGATGCAACAGTGGATAATATTTGGCAGAAAAACACGGACATCGTTAATTCTGAGTCAAAGAGTATTTAAGGGGCCAGCCTGGTGGCATAAGCAGTTAAGTGTGTGCGCTCCGCTGCAGCGGCCCGGGGTTCGCCGGTTCGGATCCCAGGCGTGCACAGATGCATTGCTTGTCAGGCCATGCTGTGGCAGGCGTCCCATATAAAGTGGAGGAAGATGGGCATGGATGTTAGCCCAGAGCCAGTCTTCCTCTGCGAAAAAAAAAAAAAGAGGAGGATTGGCAGATGTTAGCTCAGGGCCAATCTTCCTCACCAAAAAAAAAAAAAAAGTATTTAAGAATTGGACCCCAAATGTAAAGAAACTCAACCGATTTAATTTATATATTTAATGTTATGTATTCATAGGAGTGATATATGATAAAGTTCAGGTCTAAATGTAAAAGAACTCTTTGAGTAAGAATAAAAATTATAAATAACAAAAAAAATTGATTAAATAAATCAATAAATACTGTATTTTGATTCTCAACTGATTTCTTATTTGTCTTCTCAATTAGTTAATAACCTGGAGAAGAGGAGGAGGGTTCCCCTAAAGTTTCAGCAGGCTTGCAGGTGTAAACAATGAGTCAACAGGTTTAGCTTAAAAGAAATCAGTGGTGACCATTAAGAAAGTATTTTCAGGAAAATTAATGAAGGAAAAGATATGAGAAAATGGTTAAACAAATGAGAAAAATGTAAAGTTAACTGGAGAGGATAGAACTGAAAGGGATATTTTATGCATATTTGAATGAAGAAGGAATGAAGGAATAATTATGAAAATCACGTCCTGAAGAAAGCAAAGTAGGATGGGATGGGATAGAAACCAAAAGTAGAGGACAGAGGGAGGGGGAGAGGGAGGGGGGGCGGGAGATGGAGAGAGGGAGAGGGAAGAAGGGAGGGAGGGAGGGATGGAGGGAAAGAAAAAGGACAGAAGGGAGGGAGATGTAGGGAGAGAAGAAGAGAGGGGGAGAATCTTTTCCTCTGAGATAGCTTTGAGCAAAGGTATCCCCCAAATATTGCAGATGTTCTGCTCCATCCATGACCTATTAACTTGAAATAAATCCCATCCTCCTGGTTCTTATTAACTCACCTGGATAGGGGGTTCTTGAAATTTCTCTTAGTACCACCCATGGTCCTTTTCCATCCTCCAAATGAGATATCATGTCTGGTTTGGAAACTGCAAGCCCTGTTCAGAGAAAAATGAATAGGATTTGATTGTGCCTATGAGCAAGAACTATTGCCAAATTCAGTCTCAGTTCTTCATCTTCTGTGGAGAGTGGCTATTATAGGAAGTTTTAGAGATGCGCTGTCCAACACAGTTGAATTTAAATTTGAATTTAAATTAGTTAGAATGATAAAAATTTAAAATTCAGTTCTTCAATTGGGCTAGCCAGATTTCAAGTGCTCAACAGCCACAAGTGCCTGGTGCCCGCCATATTGGACAGCACAGATAGAGAACATTCTCATCACAGCAGAACATTCTATTGTACACTGGTGTTACAGAGGATTACAAAGGTATCTCAAAGAAGCTCAACATACAATCTCAGGTTTGCTGTGGTAATAGATCATGGGAATAATGTGAGTTTACAAAGAAAATGAACGTATTTGTTCCTTTCTTTCTAGAGGTACAGATAACTCTTATTTATGGAAGTAACCAGAAAAAACTTTAGGCCTAAACCTGGGGGACTGTCAACAATCCCCAATGAAATATGTATTTCTTACTCTACCATGAGCAGACCATTTAGTTAAGAGCAAAGAATAGCATAACTCCCGACAATATGCCCCTAAGATTATGAGACTTGAATGCCTAAACTTTAACTCAAAATTCAGTTAAGTACTTTAAAGGCTCTATATCTTCAGAAAACCTGGTCAAATTGGCAGATCCATGAACACAGAAGTTGTCCTTACCCAGGGAGACAAGATTTCTATAATTCTCTAGCATCACATCTTTGTGCAGGTTCCTCTGTGTAGGGTCCATCAACCTCCACTCTTCCAATGTGAAGTCTATAGCCACATCTTTAAATGTCACTGATTCCTAAAAGAAATACACTGTGATCACCCAGGGACTATACACTTAGACCTGTTAGGCAGAATGATACATACAAAACTGGCGAAGAACACCAGAAATCACAATCATCAAATGGCGATGGAAGTCAACCAGTTCAACCGTTCAAGGATGTATGAATCTCTCCAGGGACAAGAACTTAAAATCACAAGAGGAGGCCCATTCTATTTTCAAAGTTCTACCTGACAGCAGGATTTTTTTCAGACTAGTTCAAATCTGGCTTTCTGTAACTTCAAAATATTGGTCCTACTATATTATCTGGCATCAAAAAGCATGGTTTCTTCCTTCCATAGAAAGTCTTTAAAATTACTTGATAACAGCTAGTAGCTTCCACCAAAATCATCTTTTCTCCTTCAAAACCCTGCCTTATTTATAATATCAACCCTTTTACAGTTCCAATTTGTAAAATATGGCTTAATAAAAGATATAGTTTATCATTCAGATTGCAGATACAGCATATTATAAGATCTCTCTTTGAGAAAGAAATTAGGAAATCACAGGAATCTGGGGAACTTCTTTGGTCAGGATATGAAATATACATGTGCTGGTATAAAAAGTGGAAGAATGAGTCATAAAATTTTTTTAATGGTTACCTGTTGGAGGAAGGAGGAAAAAGAGTGGAGAGGACTGGAATAGAAGCTTGACTCCCTTGAATATTTTTGTTTTGTAGATTGGACTTTTGAACCATGTAAATATTTTATATTATTATAAAAGAAAAATTAAATTGTAAAAAAGCCATCTCTAAAACTTAAAAGTAAAATGAAACCAGTTGGTAGCATACACGTTCATCAGAAAGGAACTATTTTGAGTGACTTTATTTTTTTTTTTATTTATTTTTTTGTGAGGAAGATCAGCCCTGAGCTAACATCCACGCTAATCCTCCTCTTTTTGCTGAGGAAGACCGGCTCTGCACTAACATCTATTGCCAATCCTCCTCCTTTTCTTCCCCAAAGCCCCAGTAGATAGTTGTATGTCATAGGTGCACATCCTTCTAGTTGCTGTATGTGGGACGCGGCCTCAGCATGGCCGGAGAAGTGGTGCGTTGGTGCGTGCCCAGGATCCGAACCTGGGCCGCCAGTAGCGGAGTGCGCACACTCAACCGCTAAGCCACGGGGCCGGGCCTGAGTGACTTTAAAATACAGTAATTTTTCTGTATATTCCTTGTGACACATATCCCGAGGAGAAATAGAACCACAAAAAATGAAAAGAACACATTTTCAGTAAATAATCATATTGTTGGTGGTAGCGATGGAAATGCTATTTTGTAACTGTTGTGTGTGTAGTGACAGATAAAGCAAATTAGTATATTGATGTCATTGACAACTAGTGAATTTGACATGGGAGAAAGAAGATATAAATGTAATATTGATGAGATTATATAAAAACTCCATAGATCCAAATTTGAATTGGAAGTATCAGTATAAACTCATGCAGTATTTTATTTTTAAGGAAAAAACCCCCATATTTCCTAGCTTTGTCCACTGAAAAGGCCTAGAAACAATAACCAATAAGGTAGCACTACGCAAGCCAGACTGTGGCCTCTAAATATTATTTCCCACGAAAGGAGCCAGGGCCTAGAACTTTCTGTCATACTAAAAAGGAAGCTATCAAAGACTACTAGGATTATATCTAAGACATAGGAGACAACCTGAAGAGACTCCCACTGGCTAATGATGGGACAATCTGAGCATCAATAAGGATAATAATTGTAATGCATTTCAAAAATATCTAATGCATTTAAAATTGTGATTTCATAATAATACTATAAAAATACTCATTGATCATCTTTAGAGGATGCCTGGAAACTGGTAAATAAACAGAAAGAATCAACCCTTTGTCCTTCTTTTATATATAAACTACATATATAGTTTGTATAGTAATCAAATGTAATCAGATAGTTGATGAGGGGAGGTTTCTCTTTATGGAAGTATTCCAGCTAACACATGAAGAAGGAACGAAAGAATTAGAATATTACCATTTTGCAACCTCTAATGAATTAAAGGATCATCAGCGGTGGCTAATACACCATAGAGGCCTCAACTAGGCATTATGTAACTTCTGGTGGTATACACCAGAAATATGAAATACTATTGCCAAAAATACTTTTAAAAAATCAAAATCTGAATCTGATCAAGCCTCTAGATCTAACTAACAATACAAAGGGAATACAGTCGACAAAGGAGCATGTTAAATAACCCCATGGGGATGCAATTGGTAAAATCTATATTGTGTGAAATTCTAAATCAATGCTGTCCAATAGAAATATAATGCAAGTCATATATGTAATTTCAAATTTTCTAGTAGCCACATTAAAAATAAACAGGTGAAACCAGTTTTAATAATATAATTTCTTTAGCCTAATATACACAAAATATTATAATTTCAACAGGTAATGAATATAAAAACTATTACGAGATACTTTACATTATTTTTTGTACTAAGTCTTTGAAATAGGACGTGTATTTTAAATTTACAATATATCTCCATTTAAACTAGTCATATTTCAGGTACCCAATAGCCACATGTGGCTAGTGGCTACTGTACTGGGCAACACTCCTCTAAGGTACAAATGATTTGGTTTCTTCAACAAAGGATTATAAGGGGAAAAAATGAGGGAAGGGGAAATCTCTAGATTAAAAATGACCTAGGAGACAATATTAACTAATTATAACATATGAATCAACTGGAGAAACAAATACTAACTGAACATTTGATAATATTAAGGCTTCTGTTAATTTTTTAGCTGTAATAATGGTAATATACTTACTATTAAAAAATCTGTTATAGATGTATAATGAAATATTTATAGAAGAAATTATATAATGTCATTTTTTTTCAAAATCATTTGTGAGGGAGGGTAGTATTACAGACGAAATATGATTGTTCATAGGTTGATAACTGTTGAACATGGGCAATAGGTTCAACAGGATTCATCAAACTACCCTCTATTTTTGTATAAGTATAGCGCATATTATTTGTCAGGTACTGATATAAAGGCTTTTTATGTTTAGTAATGAGTTACAATAAAGAAGGTACTATTTACAGATAAGGAAAGTGAGGCATGGAGAGGTTAGGGGCTTTGCCTAAGTTCACAGAAGAGGCAAAGTCTAGATTCAAATCCAGGCAGTTTGGCTCTAGAATTCAAGCTCATAATCACCATACGCCATGATCTAGTGAACTCAGAGCCCTGATTAGCTCACTAATCAGGCAAAAGTCTCAAGTTAGATCAAACTTGGCTAAGCTCTGCTCTATATCAGAAGAAACAGATTTCCTCTGGAGTGTTCTCCTGCCATATAGATATGTATGCTTGTCAAATAGTTTAAACCTCTTTATTTGGACCTCAAAATTTGTGAAACATGTTTTATATAATTCTGCTAATAATAAAACATGGCTAATATGAGAGAGAATCACAGTTCATAAACTTTACTGTTAATTACTTTACACATAACTCAAATTATAATGAACTTACTGGGTTGTTTTCTTTTCCCACCAAGAGCTAAGCCCCAGGAAAAATCTAAGAAGGCCCTCAGCTTTCACCTGTGGCTTACCTTGAGGTTCTGTGCAAGCAAGAAGTGAAGGCTAATGCAGAGTTGTAAATGGCTGCCTAAGAGCAGAAAGAATGCCCCACACATACAAAAGCCTTTTTGCAAATGCTAGAAGACTGCTTGGTTTAAGACATTTAAGGAAAACTAAGTCCAATCATTAACCATTATGTTAACCAGAGATTTTAGTGGCTGTATACAACAAAGAATACAAACTTTACTGAATTAGTCCAGTAAAGTCACTAAACAAAGTAGCAGCAGCAGCAACAACAAGAAACTGCAATAACAAACCCTGGGGAGGGGAGAATCTATTTCCAGAGGTGCCACATTATATTATTTAAAATATCAGGTTTCCAACAAAAAATTACAAGACACACAAAGAAACAGGAAAGTATGGACCATAAATAGTAAAAAAAGCAGTCAATGGATATTGTCCCTGAGGAAGCCAAGGACTTTTACTTACTAAGTAAAGACATTAAATCAGCTATTATAAATATGTTCAAAGACCTAAAGAAAACCAGGTCTACATAATTAAAGAAGATTATGAGAATGATATCTCACTAAATAGAAAAATACAATAACTGATATGAAAAATTCACTAAAGGGGTTCAGTGAAAGGAAACAACAAAGTGAACAGTGCAATGGTCTGAAGGTTTGTGTTCCCCTCAAATCAGTATGTTGAAAACCTAATGCCCAATGTGATGGTACTAGGAGGTTGGGCCTTTGGGAGGTGATTAGGTTATGAGGGTAGAACCCTCATGAATGGAATTAGTGCCTTATGAAAGAGGCTCCAGAGAGATCCCTAGCCCCTTCCACCATGTAAGGATACAATGAGAAATCTGTGACCTGGAAGAGAGTTCTCATCTGACCATGCTGGCACCCTGATATTGAACTTCCAGTCTCTAGAATTGTGAAAAATAAATTTCTGTTGTTTACAAGCTACCCAGCCTATTGCATTTTGCTACAGAAGTTCAAACAGACTAAGATAAGCAGGCAGGAAATTGAAGATAGATCAACTGAGATTATGCAGACTGAGGAACAGAAGCAAAAAAGGATAAAATAACAGTACAGAGGAGGGGAAAAAGAATGGAGCTATATTGGAGTAAAGATGCATATACTATTAAAATTAAGTTGGCATTAATGTCAAATACATTGTTTTACGTCTAGATATTAATTGTAATCCCTAGGGAAACAACAAAGATAATAACTCAAAAATATTATGAAAGAAATAAGAGTTAATCAAATGGGATATTAGAAAATATCTAACACACATAAAAATGAGTAATGGAGGAAGAAACAAACAAAAAAGATGTAAGGCATAGAGAAAAGAAAGAGCAAAATGGCAGACATAAGTTCTACCTTATCAGTCATTAAATTAAAAGTAAACAGACTGAACACTACAATCAAAATGAAGAGACTGGCAGAAGG